TCCTGCTGGAGTTTTCTCCTATTTAATCGAGAGAAGGGTCTGTACCTGACCCAGGGTAGGCTTCCTTCTTCCCTCCTCTCCTTGCACCTTGTCTCACCTCTTTCTACCCTTGCCCCTTCTTCTTTTATTTTTTTTATTTTTGCTATAGGGAGCGTGTACTCTCCAGAGAGACAGAGAGATAAAAAGTGAGAGATTAACCCACTCCCCCCGTAGGGGGGAAGGTGATGGCCACACTGCAATCCCGTCACCTCCATTCTTCTCTTGGGATTTTAGGCACACATGCACATGCACCCAAGCATGAGTTTTAAACTGCCGACTTTGGAACTTGAACCACAGCTGAACACATGTAACTCCAGTGGTGTAACCATTACACCATCTGCCGGTCCCTCACCCTTGCCCCTTCTATCTAAGAGATTCACGTTACTTAATTGACTAAAGGGCAAGGGGAAGCTGCAACAATACCCCATGATTGTGAAAGCACTGAAATATTTAAGAATCTTTGTTGTACAATATCTGCCTTGCTAATTAGCTTAGGGGTGTGCTGAACGTTATCTCAGTTCTCTGCTTCCAAAATTATCAAAAATCCATATGGCTGTTTATTTAGCAAGGTCGCAAATAGTGGGCATCACCATCATAAGTATTTGGAAGAAATCCAACCATACATTCATGTGGAAAATGAAGCCCGAACAGGGAGAGAGCGTGTCGTCATTGCACGAAAACACTTGACCTCACAAAGCTTTGAGAAGCTGTTCCATATATGAGGTTGGCCCCAAATAAAAGGCACTTTCAAGACTCTGCCTTTTTATTATTTTAGTAGCATCCAGCTCTGTCAGTTGTTTCAAGTCACTCTACTGTCTTAGAGGTTTGGCTTATTAGCATGTGCATAAGGATTCTGGATTTCTTTTTTAAGTGAGAATTCTCACTTTGCTATGTTAATCAAGCTCTTTTTTATTTCCTGGTGAATTATGAAACCGGGATGAACCATGAGTACTGGACTTAACTGTAGAAAGAGGCAAGGAAGAGTGAGTGAATTAGCATCAGATTCCGCACCTTGCGGATCTATGAGCTTGTTGGCAAATCACTGCACTTTGAGCTTGTTTGCTCTTTCCTTTGTAAAAATCAGGATCACAGTTGTTGTCTGAAGAAAGTTGCATGAGGGGCCAGCAGATGGCATAATGGTTATGTCACTGGGCTCCCACGTAGTTGACTACGGTTCAAGTCCTGGACCCAATGGCTTAAAAGCCAATGCCATGTGCGAGTGTGTGTGTGTGTGTGTGTTTGTGTGTGTGTGTATGTGTGTCCAAAATCCCAGAGGAGAAGGGAGGAGAAAGAATTGCAGTGTGGCCATCACCCATCGGGGGTGTGTGTGTGTGTGTGTGTGTGTGATTTCTCACTTTCCGTCTCCCTGTCTCTCTGTGAACACGTGCACCCTATAGCAAAAAACCTCTATAATTAAAATGAAAGGAAAATTGTATGAATTAAATGAGCTCCTACCTGTACAATACCTTGTGCACTGTAAAGGGCCATAAACAAGCAGGAAGAATATTCCATGTAGATATCTCAGATTAATATTAATGGAAAACTGGGAAGGTAAAGAGTTTGCCTGACAAGAAGGTGGTAGGAGGGGGTTCCTGAGAGGTGGGACTGCTTTAATATGCAGTTTTTGGTTCTGAACTGTAAATTGGATCAGAAGTGGGTGGCTCAGGCAGCTGATGCTCAGTGTCTGACTGAGTATAATATTTAAACTGGAAGGAAGTTGTTTCCAGAGGTTAGGAGTCTAGGAGGTAAGGGGGGCAGTGTTGGTGGAACGAGTTGCCTTTCCAAGTTGGTAGTTGTGTGCATTTCAAGACAATGGAAGGGTTGTGGGTAGAAGAGAGTCTGTCGTGGGTAGAAGAAACTCTTCAAGAAGAACTTGAAGAGCCTCAATAGGCTAGCCCTTGTGATTTTCTCCTTTTTTTTTTGTTTTAATGTCATTTGCTTCACAGAATTTGAGACCTCCCTATGACTCCTGACTACCATGGAAATCCATCTTTAAGTGCTGGGAGGCTGAGTTAGGACCTTGCGTGAACAATGGCTTTGAGCCCAGAGTGCCAAGTACTCAGGCTAAGCCCTACAATAGACACTTGGACCACCTCAATCCAGTCATGCTTGTTGGGCCACTGCTACAGGAATTTAGGTTTCCATGAAGAGCCTGAATATCACAAAATAGGGTATTCTTTACCATTTGACCCCTTAAAATTACATGAGTGAATGGAAAGGTAGTCATAAAAATATGTAAATAATAATTCTGTCTGCAATGCATGCCTTGAGGAAGTATTAGTTAAGAAGTATTAGTATTAGTTATCTACCACTGAGGTGTAAGATATTCTTTGAATGTTGGGGTGGAGTTTTAAATGTACTTATTTATTTCTCTCACAAATGAGAGACAGAGACACCGAGAGGCAGCACCCAGCAGGATCTTGACACCATGATCTACCCTAGCCTTTAACCAGACCTGAATCACAGGCAAACACATGTACAGTGAGCTCAGGGAGGTCTCTGGACCTGAATCAGTGCCCTGTCTGTAAAGTGTTGCATTTTAACTCTGTATCACCACCCGGCCCAGAGGTGTATTTTTTTTTTTTTAATTTGCTCTATTCTATTCCTAGATTGGAACTGTATTATGTGTTATTTATGAAAGTTGTTTTTCTGTTGGGACTCAGCCACCAACATATTGCCTGACCTCCTGGCTGCCTGTCTTTTTGATGACCTCGTAAGTCATGTGGCAGTCTAGCCTAGACTTCTCTTCTGTTCCCAGCAGACTCTGCAATGACAGTACCAGTTTTTGTTCTCTTCATGGTCCTCCTTAAAGACATAGTGACAGAGGGAACCAGCAGTTAGTGTAATGGCTATGTCACTGGACTCCCATGTAGTCGACTGCGGTTCGTGTTCCGGACCCGGTGGCTTAGAACTCACGCCGGGCGCGTGTGCGTGTGTGCCCAAGATCCCGAGAGGAGAATGGAGGAGAAGGGATTGTGGTGTGACTATCCCTCCTGGGGGTTTATTTCTTGCTTTCTGTCTCTACGTCTCTCTCTGTCTGGCGAGCGCACGCGCCCTATAGCGAAAACCTCTCCAAAAAAAAAAAAAAGGCATAGTGACAGAGTGGATTGGATACTGGAGATTGAGGAGAAATCTGGAAACATACACAAGGCACTTTGGAGCGTCTAGTCCAAGAGTCACTGACTTTCCTCATTCACATACTATGCCTCTCACTCACCATTGCATGATTCGCCCACATTGGCAAGATACCATCAAGGATCTTGGGGTAAATAAGATCTCGGTTGTAGAGAAAAAGGCCCCAGAATGCTGAAAACACAAACTGGAAAAGAAAACACAGAAATAGAGTCTCATTAGATCAAATCATCAGAGCTTGCTAAGATAACCAAGGAAACATGGCAAAATAAAAATAGATACCTGTTTGAAAGACAGCTTATATGCACATTACAGGAATGTAAAATGCAGGAAAAGCATTGCTTGTGGTAGAACCGCACTATGTACGTTCTCTGGGGATTCCTCAATGTGCTGGTGAAATAGGATTGATTGATTGTTATCATGGCATGGGGAGAAGACATGGACACTCAGGGTTCACACACCATTAGTTATTTACTTTAGCCCCAAACATGTACATTCCTTACTCACCCTGGCTCATGACAAGGGGAAGAAGAAAAGCCAGGAGAGGGGAAGAAAAATGACAAGCTTCCAGGAAAATCTGCACGCTAGTTACCAGAGCTGGACCTCTCCGTCGCTCAGAACTTTAGGTTGATTTCTACCCTCTTAGACGCCTTAGCTGTCTGGTCAAAGCATCTGTCTTCTATGCTCTGTGTTGTAAAATCTGTGCAGAGATGGGCTGGGGGACGATTAATCTTCTGATCCTTTTATCTTCTGAAATTTCATAGGCTCAATTTCTGAGCCTTAAAGAAGGAACAGATTCCATTGTTAATTAGAAAACCTTGGCCTGTAGAAGAGTTGATGGGGGTGGAGGTGGATCCCGCAAAGGAAAACTGGGATGTCAGTACTCGCTCTGTCATCTGAGAACTTACTAGTGTTTGGAGAGCTTCGTTTTGCATTTAAGTCTGAAGTCTCGATACTATAGAAAGCCAGACAATGACAGGTGGAAGACAGTCATTTCTAATCATGCTTTCTGCTGGGTAGTGGCACACTTGGTCGCAATTCATTTCCATTCTCACTAAGGAATAGAAACACGAGCAGTGTCACGGAAATGGGACAGTAGCAGCAAACAAGCCTGCTGTACAAGCCTGCTGTCCCTTGCATAGGTCTGGCTTCTTCCTGTGTCCTTTCATTATAAAAAAATGCATGAGATACCTACTGTGTGTCCACATCATGCTGTCTTCCTCTCTTCTATTGTCTTTTCTTTTTTCAAGAGAGATTTTTGGTAACCCCAGAGACAGAGACAGAAAATGAGAAACATCCCCCCCAGGGTAGGTGGCAATATCACAATCCCTTCTCCTCCACTCTCCTCTAGGGATCTGGGACATACAACGCACATACCCAACGTGGGTTTTAAGCTGCCAGGTGTAGGACTTGAACCACGGTTTACTATGCGGGAGTCCAATGATGTAACTATTTTGTCATCTCCTGGTCCCTCCTCCATTGTCTTTGGAATTTGCTATCTTGAAGGTCTCTTATTTATTTTTTAACATATTTTTTATTTGGTGGTTTTCTACTTGCAGAAGTAATACATGCATTTTTTTTTCTTTTCTTCTTTTTTTTGGAGAACTTTTTCCCTATATGGCGCGTGCGCTCGTCAGAAAGACAGAGAGACATAGAGAGACAGAAAGCAAGAGGTTACCCCCCATGGGGGATGGCCATGCCACAATCCTTTCTTCTCCATTCTCCTCTCAGGATCTTGGGCATGCACGCACATGCACCCCGCATGAGTTTAGGCCACCGGGTCCGGGACTCAAACTGTGGTTGACTACATGGGAGTCCAACAACATAGCCATTACATCAACTGCAGGTTCCACATGCATATTGTAGCAAGTGAAACAAGCTATATACGAGAGAAACTGAGTTATCTCCCTCCACAGTACTCTTCATCCCACCACCCTGATGAAACCAATGTTCTCTCTGCTGTATTTAAAGAGATATCTTTCTAATTTCCCCCTAGACACCCTCAGGATCCTTTGTGTTTCAAGGAAACTTTGGGAAGATACAAAGGCTCATGATAAAGCCGATCAGCGAGGTGCCCTAATTCCTAAAGACATCAGACCACAGGGCGTGCAGTCCTGCGACAGGATATTTATGCAAATGCAGTTGCTCTGGGTTACAATAACCGGCTTTCAAACAGCCTTGCTGTCCAGGATACTTACTAGTCCATACGCACAGGTGTATTATACGCCATAAACAACTTTGTAACTTACTGTGGATATAGGAAAAGCCAGCGTGGTGAAAAGCAGGTCTCTGAAGGCAGTTAGGAACTTAATGTCTTTTTTTCCTTTGATTATTTTCAGCACATCATCCAGACAGGCGACCCCGAAGAAAATGGCCTGCAAGAGCTAAATTCATTACAACAAATGAGGGCATTTTCATTTGCTTTAATTAATACATTCTTCACTGATGGAAAAACTCCATTCCTCTGGGAGCGATGTTGGTTTGAGAAGGAGGGGGCCGTTGGGTTGTTTTGGTTGGGAGCCAATTTAAGGGCTAGGCTTCCAGCTCACTGGGCTCTGACCTTGCTCACTAAAACTGATGGAGGAAATTCGTTTAGGGGATAATCAGTGTGTACAGTATTTAGTGTAATGGACTCGAGCTAAAATGGAAACAAAATAAAGAGTCAGCTGAAAAGGAGGATGGAATGAGATGGAAGGCTTGGCTGCACAGAGGTGAGAAGAACCAAACAGCACGAGGGCCAATAGCCAGATGTGATGGTGGACACAGTCCTGGGAAGAAGAATGAAGAAAATACCTCATGCCGAAATCTCACTGAAGAGCCAGAATTAGGGTCAAAAGCACCAGGATAGGGATCTGAGATGCACAAAATGTTGGCTCACTAATGAGAAGGAGGAGTCAGCTCACCTGACTATAAAGGGGAAGCCTGAAGGTCTTATTGAGAAAGGCTGGTGGAGGGAGAGCTTTCAATCTGCAAGGATAGTGCAAGCCTCAGGTTCTGGTGAGCTTTTAAGTAAGTGGGGCCCCTGAGGCCGGGGGAAAGAGAGCACAGCCTTACCATTCCGCAGTCTTATGGCTTCTAATTGAAAATCTACTGACTCACAAAACACACAGTCTGAGCTGGGTCTGAGTTCTGCTTGCATCAGGATCCGTCTTAGTTCTTGAAAGCTCTGGATTGGTACAAAAGGGCAGTCTGGACTCTGCCCTTAGGGTATGAGTCAGGCAAATTCTAGAACCAGGGGATCTGGGCTGATGATGGATCACATCGGCTGCTGGGGAACAGTCTATGGGGTCTGGACTCCACGAAAGAGCTAGCGGTTAGCCTGGACTGAAAGGGTAGGCAGGAGAGGAGACAGGGTTGGGTTAGGCCAGTGCTACTCCGGCTGGGACTTGAGAATAGCATCATCGCCAGGGAGCGGTGAGAGAAATTCAAGATCTTGACTGCCCTCCTCCCCCAAAGCTATGGAATCAGGATCTCTGGAAATGGGCTGGGAGGTTGTTTCTCTCTTTCTTTTTTCTTTTTTTGTTTTTGTTTTCCTATAGGGTATGTCCACTTACCAGAGAGAGAGAGAGAGAGAGGGAAAGTAAGACATCACCCCTGGGGGTTATGGCCATACCACAATCCATTGTCCTCCATTCTCCTCTTGGGATTTGGAGCATGCACACACTTGTGCCTGGCATGAGTTTCAAGTCACCAGGTCCAGGACTTGAACCAGGAGTCAGCTCTGTGGGACCCAGTCGCCTTCACCTCCACACTACCTGCTGACCCAGGAGTTTGTTTTTATGTGTGCCAAAGGTCTAGAACCCCTGGATTTGACACAAATTTACCATAGAAAAACCTTACTGACCACTCAAAGCAATAGTCACTGAATTTTTTCAGTTTATTTATTTTCTTCATACAGTGTAGGTGTACCCCCCACCCCAATAGGGTCCTCATGCCACAATCTCCCTGCAGCCCAGCAGCCAACCAGGATAGTGGACTTGAGACTCAAACCCGCAGGCTTCCCACATAGCTTCCAGCAGGATGAGGCAGCAGCGCCCCCACCACCTGCACCACCGTGGCTGGGCCCATAATCCCTGATTTCCTTCAACACTTGGTATGTGCCAAGTGTTGAACTAAGCCTTGAATCCTCACAACAACTTCATGAGGAAGTCCTATTATTAAGCCTCCACCACCCCGGTTCACAGATGAGGAAACTGAGGCACAGGGAGATGAACAATCTTGCCTACAAAAATGCCAAAGCCAGAATTGGAATTCCAGAGTTTGGTTCTTGAGCCAGACTATAGAAAAACAAAACAAACAAAACAGGTTCTAAGAATGGGGAGGATAAAGCATGGTAAGGAGATCAGAAGAGAAGCAGCTATTTCCAGGTGGAAAAATGAGAAATAATTTCAAAAGATGCTGAGGCTGATTTGCACTTCCAGAGATTCTGATCTCGTGGGTCTTGGTGTGTGGCATAGGCTTTGGGAGTTTCTAATCCTCTCTGGTGTGGGCAGCTAAGATGGAGAAGCACCTGCCTAGAGGGACTTCCAAGGAGGTAGCTGAGCCCTCCAGGTGGGAGGAGCTTGCTGGACAGAGAAAGGAGGGGGGGAAGAGGAGAAGGAGGAAGTGAATGCTGGGACAGGAGGGGGAGGGAGCAGCAAAGGGAGCAGAGAATGGCAGAAACCAGGAAGCTGCAAAAAGTCCATGGTCTACAATGGAGGAAGATACTTCAAACCAGAAGAGGGTGTTTCAGGGAGGGGGTCTAGCAATGGTTTTAAATGCCACAAAGAGATTGCCACCCTATGCATCATTATCCTAGGTGGTTTGGTCTTCATCCCCTGAGGGCTGTGGAATTTGGAATTGTAGTCAAGGATGATAGGGATGGCTATCATCCTCCTCCCCCAGTCACTCCCACTTCATCCTTGGTGCTCCTCTTAGGTGGCTGCTCTGGCCACATTGCAGGCTGCTGTGCTACAAGGGAAAGCAAGCCTGAGCCTGGGCCCAAGCGAGGAGGTCAGCACTGTTCTATCCATGCAGCAATTAATCATTACTGAGAGTCTGCCAGTCTGTCCCTCTTTGGGGAGAGGCTGCCCCACCCAGCATGTGACGTTCCTGTGGCCCTCCTTTCTTAGGAGAGCGTCCTAGAGTCACTGTGAGTCATACTTGTCCTAACTTTCACTCGTCTTTCCCAGTCACAGACTATGGAAATCCAACTGGGGAAAAGAACACATTACTCAGATCCTCTGGGGCTTCTCCATCCATAAACATTTGCTCCACACTGCACACTTGCCAATCATCTCTCCCCCACCATTCTTAGCTCATGCGTTATTTTGCAAGCACATGTCACGTTGACATCTTCAGATGCCAGCTGCGTGTGAGGCAGCCTTGTCACTACTGATCTTACTCAACCTTGACATGCCATCATCTGCAACAACAAGGACTATTGGTGGAGCCCCACATAGCTGGAGGCGCTAGAGTGTTGCCAAGAGAAAGAAACAGACAAGAGCTGGGGCCTAAAGGAGCTGACAGAGCTGGTGGGCAGGGGGATAGGAAGCCTTGAGCTCTGTGAGGAGGCTTCCAGGGGAGGCATCAAGGAGGGTTTGGGGTCAGCTCATTCAACCAGCAATTGCCTGCTTGCTAAGGGCAAAGCAGTGCAATGTTACAAAACATGTTCAGAGGGCCAGATGGCAGCACAGTGGAAACACAACTGGATTCACATGGGAAGGGTCCTGGGTTTGTGTCCTGATACCTCCCCGTGTATCCAGGCACGTGCGTGCACACACTCATGATCCAGACTGGCTGAGGCTGGGAGGGGATAGTAGTGTGAAGACCCTGCTAGGGTTTTCTCTCTCTCTCTTTCTCTTAAGCAACACATAAATAAATTTCAAAAATATATACACAAAAAAATTCAAGGGAGAGAATGTTAGTTGTTATAGGCTGAATTATGTTCCCCCACAAATTCATATCTTAACTCCCCAAGTAACTCAGAACATGAGTTTTCTTTATAGAGTTTTGAAAGAGGTAGTTATATTAAAACAAAGTCATTGGGGTAAATCTGAGTGGTGTCCTAATAAGACAAGGTGATTAGGACACAGACATGCACAGAAGGCCATGTGAGGACACTGGGAGAAGGTGATCATCTGAAGGCCAAGGAGAGAAACCTCAGGAGAAGCCATCTCACCGCTGACCTTGGCCTTCCAGCCTCCAGCATAAGAGAATAAACCTCTGCTGTTAACTAAGTCCTAGTCTGTGTTGCTTTGTTACGGCCTCCCTCGCAAACATACGAAAATATGAAGCCAACCAACAGTCTCTCAAGAACCTCATAACAAAAATTGTCACTTCTATTTCTCAACTCTGTTGGCTGCCCAGGAAAACTGACCTAAAGGTACCTTCCTGTTCAAAGTTTATTTCAGAGCTGCTGCGTTCCGATTTCTCCTTTCTTCTGGCTCGTCCACTGATTCTGCCCCCAGTTGCGTGCTCTATGCCTTTTCCTGCAACGCTGCTTTTCTAAATTTGTTAGCTGTCTTGTTTCCATTGCTAGCTGTCAAACTTACCACCTGCGATGGAGCTGAATTTACATTTGTTACAGCTAATGCAATTTCAGAAACCATAGCTAAAGGATATTTAGTTTTTATATTCATGTGTCTTTACCAATCCACAAAACATCTTGAAATCATAGAAACATAGCCTTCCTAAGTCACTGAATTTATTTCCTTGCCTCCAAGCCAGAACTCTTATAAACGACTCCAGGAAATGAGAACTTCTTCTATTTAAAATATGATTTCAGAGAGGGAGATCCCACTAATTTTCTGAGTAAGACATTGGATGAGTCAAGCAATCGACACCCAGCTCAGGACTCGGCTTGTCTCAGCCAGGCTGGGACTTTCTTATTTCCTTGGAAATGATGCAATGCCCATCGACTCTTTCAGAATAAAACACTCGTAGAGACTAATAGGAAGAATATTTCATGTGAGAGTGGTGGTGTTTGGAACCTGTAGGAGGGACCCTTTGCAGGTATACCTGTATTTACATCTATTATACCATCTAATCATCATTCACGTACATTTTCTTTAAGTAAGAAACTGACATAAGAGAATGAGCTGAAGACTGCAGGAGAACTAACGTGAAGAACACAATTTGGAATGAGGAGGAGGTAAAGACCGAACATCAAAGGACATGCTGGATAAAGGGACAAGTGGCCAGTGTTATATAGCTGATGACAACAGGCTTCAAAATAGCAGTAGGATGGCTGTGGGATAGAGACAGGTGGGGTTCCCTAGAAAGGGGCTCATACCAGTTAGGACCATGTGCTGGTCATTTATTTACCCAACCAGCATTCATGGAGTGCTGGTTCAGTACTAGAAATGCTATTAGACATAATACAGGCCAGAATAAGAAGAGGCAT